CAGCAAGCATACATCTTGATGTACCTTCTGCCCGCATGTGATCAAGTATATCTGGGGTAGTTGGGGCAAACAAGTTTGTTTAGGGGCATTGAAATATATGGCTTGTTCTTTCTCAAGAACTACAACTCCCACCATTCCAGGAAGTTACTGTCTTTGGGCAGGCGGGGCCTACAGATTAACTTTTGCTCTTACAATTATGTGTGAATGAAATTCCCCAGAAAGAAAAACACCTACAAAATCTGACTGACCGATTAGAACTTCAGATGTGAGATTAGGAAGTTGCAGGTCCAGAGTCAAATCCCACAGGCCAGCCTTAGCCCCCTTACCAGCCATCCGTTTCACACCTCAGTGTGATCTAACGTTTTTGTAGCTATTATGTAAATCCTCTGGAATGCATGAACAGACACTTAGCTTCTGCCAACCCAAAGCTAAGAATGTCTTCAGATAGTATCCAAGGCCTATAGCAGAGGTGCCTCCATTTTGCTGTATCCACCGACCTGATGTGTTATCAGCAATAGGAACACAGGTCGATATAAGTAGCTCCCTGGGGACTTCAAAAAAGAAATGAGTTTCAGAGCAAAGCACGTGGTATTTATTTCAAATAGAAAGAAAGATTCTCAAGCCAGGCAGTGGTGACACACACCTCAATCCCAGCACTTGGGAGGCAGGGGCAGGAGGATCTCTGAGTTGGAGGCCAGCCTGGTGTACAGAGTGAGTTCCAGGATACTCAGGGTGCTACACAGGGAAACACTGTCTCAGAAAAAAAAAAAAAGAAGGAAAGAAAGACATGTTCTCTGAGAGTAAGAAAAGCAGAAAACCAGAGCTTCCTTAGGACCAGGACACGAGATTGTGGGGGCTTTCAGTGCCGACCAGAGCATTCTTTTTAATGCCATTCAAAGAGTGTCATTTGTTAAAAAAAAAAAAATGTGTAACATGAGGGGCTGCTTGTTGGGGTTTCTGTCCTGCCCCATTCCCACAGCCAGTAAGGCCCCAAAGAAATCACACAGAGAGTCTATATTAATGATAAACCGGTTGGCCCTTAGTTCAGCTTTTGTATTAGCTCTTATATCTTATATTAACCTATTATTCTTATCTATGTTAGCCACATGGCTTGGTACCTTTTCCGGCGGGGCAGGTCACGCCTTCCTTCTTTGGTATCTGGATAGGACTGGGGAGGAATGGTCTTCCTCCTTCCCAGAATTCTCCTGTTCTCATTGACCTGCCTCTACTTCCTGTCTGGTTGTCCCGCCTATACTTCCTGCCTGGCTATTGGCCAATCAGCATTTATTTAAAACATAATTGACAGAATACAGAATTGTCCCACACCAGGCTTGCTCTAGTGGGGTATTCACCAAAGAAGATTGCTCAGACATGGGTTTAAACCAAAGAAAATCTTCATTAGCTGGCTGGTGACTACTCTGAGTGGTCAGGATCCCACTGTAGCCCTGAGCCTTTCTCAGGTTGAACTTTCAAGCTCAAAAGCCATGCCCTAGGTTGAAATATTTCAATTAACAAGAGCAGTGAGCCAGAAACAGAACCACAGTGCCAAAAAGCCAGGTCAGCACATTTAGAGACTTTCCCAGTACTGTGGACTTGGATGGACTAGGTCTTTGTTCTCATTTTTGGCAGGTGGTGGCATCTATATGCTGACTTTTATGGCCTGAATGGTGGTACTCCCATCATGGGGTCAGTTATGCTAAGGGGTGGAGTCCTGTACACTCTCAGTAAACGAAACTGTTAGGTGGGTTTATGGGAGAATCATGAGGTCTAGGAAACAAGAGTGCTAGGAACACAACGTTCTGCATCACCTTAGCCCTCAGTGGCACAGCTGCAGGCGTCAGAAGGACTGGAAGGGTTACTTGTAGACAGAGACACCAAGCTGGGGTCTCCAGCAATGAGCAGCTATTCCCCACTGCTCTTTGCTGAGCTAGTGACTAGAGATTGTGCTACAAGCAAAGCTTGAGCAAAAAGTCTGTGTTCCCCTCACCAGAGTTCTTCCTTCTGCCCTTCCCTGCCCTTGGGCCCTGCTGTGCCCTGGAGGGCAGTCCTCCTGGGATCTAGATCTTATTACCTGCGGCTTTCCCTCAGTGGAGGACATCTGGACCCCAACAATTCTGCCTCTGGTGAATGTAAGTGCTTGGATACGTAAAAACATATATACATTTTTTTTCATATTAACCTATAGATTCAAAGTGATTTCAATTAAAATCCCAGTCAAAGGAGCTGACCAGAAGGTAGGGGCCAGAGTATCCCACCATCCATTCTACCTATAACCACTACATGGTGTGACAGGCACCCCTCAATGAGTACCATAAGGACACTTACAGTGCTGGGTGTGGTGACAGAGGCAGATGGATCGCTGTGAGTTTGAGGCCAGCCTGGTTTACAGAACTAGTTCCAGGACAGCCAAGGCTACACAAAAAAACCCTGTCTCAACAAAAAAAAAAGAAAGAAAGAGAGAGAGAGAGAGAGAGAGAGAGAGAGAGAGAGAGAAAGAAAGAAGGAAGGAAAGAAAGAAAACCAAAAAAACCCCACCTTCGGTGGCACCAGTAATGACTCCCAGTGTGAAGACTTGACCACAGCCAGCAAGGTGGTTTCAATCACCCACAGCAAGCATGGACTGACAGATGACCCAGGGCTCCACAGGGTCCTTATGGAACTTACATGCATGGAGTCACTCTGCAGATACCTGAGTGTACAAGGAAGACTCAAGGCCCTTCCCAGATACAACCAGCCCAGAACCCTGTCTGCCTCTGGGTTCTGTGCAATTTGAGAAACCCCATCAGAAGGCTCGGGATCTACTTTCCTTCAGGGGCCTTCTGAGGAGAGATGTAGAGGCCCCATAACACGAAGAAGACAATTTTAGAGCCCCATGCACCGAATGTTCTTTTAACTTTCAGAAATAAATCGCAGTTAAATTAACTTGCATCATTGTGTAAATCAACTTTCCCTTGCTTGATTGACACCCGAGACAGATGGCCTGAAAGAAGCAAAGATTAAGCTTGTTTTCTAGTTTCAAAGACAGCAATCCCTTCTTTGGGGGTCTGTAGTAGAGAAGACGGCATAGTGGGAAGCCTGTGCTAAAGCAAAGCTGCCCAGGTCATGGAGGAGAAAGAAGGGCAGAAAAGGGCACCTGGGTCCCAATGTGCCCTTCAAGGACACGCCCACCAGCAGCACCGCAGGCCGCGGCCAGCATTTCCTCCACGAGTCTTTCAGAGATACCTACAATCTGGCTCACACGCGGGCATGGGTGTGCAGGTCTATAACTCCAGCACTTGGGAGGCTGAGGCAGAAGGCTGGAAAATTTGAATCCAATCTGGGTTTTCAAGAAAGTTCTAACCAGACCTAGGTTGCAGAGTGAGACCCTGTCCCAACACTTCCTAAGCACTCCCAAAAGATCAGTCCCTAAAACACAGGTGGTTATGACACTGTTATACGTGCTGTGCACTGCCATTCCCTGCACAGTCCCTGCACTAGGCTGTGTCCAAGACTATGCTGAGTCTGGGCACTGTCAGTCAGCAGGTTAAGAGCGGTCACTGCAACAGTACACTGAGGTTGAAGAAATTCCAAGTCGTGGACATCTGCTCTCATCAAAGAAATCTACACAGGGAGAGCTGTCAAGGGGGACAGCAAAAGACTCACTGTGGTTTTATTTTTATTTATTTATTTATTTATTTATTTATTTACTTACTTACTTACTTTTGGTTTTTCAAGACAGGGTTTCTCTGTAGCTTTGGAGCCTGTCCTGGAACTCGCTCTTGTAGACCAGGCTTTTCTCGAACTCACAGAGACCCACCTGCCTCTGCCTCCCACGTGCTGGGATTAAAGGTGTGCACCGCCGCGCCTGCCTTTCACTGTGGTTTTATGACAAACGAGGAAGTATTTCTTGATATACCTTGTTACTTTATCAGTCAAAAAACTATTTACTACTATAGTATAATTCTGGATGTGCTTCACAACAACTGAAAATGTGCCATTGATTGGGATGCAAGGGAGGACTTGCTAACAAAAGAATTGGAGGGGATATTTATTCTGTTAAAGTCAAAACTCTTGTCTGTGTAGCACTGGGGGTGGAGGTCAGTGGAGAGCACAGATCCCAGGTCCAATCCCAGAGGAAAGACAAACACATTCAAACTCACATGGAAGGTCAGTGTACTAACATGGCTTATACCAGACGATCTTAGGTAAAGAGGTGTTCTCTTGAAGGTCCTCAGTAAAACTAGGCAATTTGTATTAGTTCTGGAGGCAGATGTGAGTAGTTGGAAATGTACAAAGTAATCTTATACAGGAAACAATCAAAAAAATATTATGAAGCATGCCCTTAGGACAATTTTTGTTATTATTCCTGAATACAGTTTTTTAAAGTTTATTTGTTAACTTTTACTTATATGTGATTGTGTGTGCATGTGTGTGTGTGTGACATGTGTGCAGGTACTACAGAAACCAAAAACAAAACAAAACAAAACAGGCGTCAGATTGCCCTGTAGCTGGAGTTCTCTGCGGCTCTGAGCTTTGGGTGACAACCCTGAGTTCTGGAAGAGTTGGAGGGCCCTTAGACACTGGGCCATCTCCACCACTCCCTAAGATTTACTTTTATTTATGTGTATCTGTGGGTGTGTGTATGCCAACAGAAGCTATTAGAAGACATCGGTCCGCCGGAAATGGAGTTACACCCAACATAGGTGCTGGGACCAAACTTAGGTCCTCTGGAAGAGCAGCAAGTAACCTTAACTGCTGAGGCTTCTCCAGACCTCAACATCGTCTGATGTTAAAACCGAGAGACAGAAATGTACATATCTCTTGGGAATCTGGCTTTCCAAAGCTCTGTTTCCTGTAAGCACCTAGGCAGGCGTTTGGGAACCTTGGTCTGTCTGTAACACGGTCACAGTCACAAAATCTGTAGCCAATCAGCAGGCAATTTTGGTCTGTCTGTAACACGGTCACAGTCACAAAATCTGCAGCCAATCAGCAGGCAATACAGAGGTATTTGTGCAGAGTTCAGACTCAGACTTCAAACTCTGTCCCGTGTGAGATGACTTGGAGTCAGGGCCCTTACAACGGAGCTGGCAGCACTGCTCTTTGGGCGTCTGTTGGCTGGCCAAGCGATGAAACAGAAGGTTGGTTGCACAACGAGGCAATGTGTCAATCTGTGGTCCTGCGTGGTGAAGACTCCAGCCCCCTGGCTTGGCCAGCTCCTCCCACAGGGCTACTCTATATGTATGTGTCCAGGCGGAACTCTTCATTTATCCCTGATTTTTAAGACAACCAGCATTGTGTTCTCACGGGAGCCACAACATAGACTGGGTAAGACCCTGGGCTCTAAGATGGGACGGGAGGGACAGGGATGGGGCAGTGTTGGGGCAGGGGAACTGTGAGCCCACGGTGCCAGCAGAGGGCCTTCAGGGGGAATGGGGAGTAGTTACTTCTCTCTGTTCTCACAGGAGCATGGGTGTGAAGCTGCTTGAGTCCCGACTTTGTCTCCTGCTGCTGCCGCCACTTGTCATCATGGTTGCCTCGGTCCAGACCCCACGGGGCTTAACCCCTTCCCAGTGGTTTGAAATCCAGCATGTGAATAATAGGCCCGGCCTCCGATGCACCGCAGCAATGCGGGGGGTTAACAACTATACGAGACGTTGCAAGGACAAAAATACTTTTCTTCATACAAGTTTTGCTGCTGTTGTTGGTGTGTGTGGCAGACCAAATACTCCCTGCAGAAACAGAACACACACAAATTGTCATAATAGTTCGGCTCCAGTATTTTTAACTTTCTGTAACCTCACAACTCCTGCAAGAAATTATACACAATGCCAATACCAAACGACACAAGCGACAATGTTCTACAGAGTTGCTTGTGACAACAGGTCTCCACAAGACAATGGTACTTACCCAGTGGTTCCGGTTCACTTGGATTTGATATTTTAGCTCTAGAACCAGCCCCACGTTCACAGTGGTGAAGAGCCTATTCCCCTGCCTGTGCTGCGGTCAGCACCTGTCCTTGTGAAACCTGTCCCCGGTTCCCTCCACATTTAGCTGAACAGATCTTTTCTACTCAGTAAACACCTTTGCATACTCATCCGGATCTCTGCGTATCTGTGTGTGCGTGCACTCATACAGGCGTGTGTGTGTGCTTGTAGTGTGTATGCATGTGGGTGTGTTGTGTGTAAGCCTCTGTGGATCTATCTATCATCTATGTATGTGTGTGTGCACAAGCATGTGTCTGTATGTGTGTGCGTGTCTGTGTCTGTGTTTGTGTGTGTCTATGTGTGTTTGTGTGTCTCTGTGTCTCGGTGTGCTTGTGTCTGCATGTGCATGGGCTTGTGCCTCTGTGTGTGTGTGCGTGTCTGTGTCAGTGTGTGTGTTTGTGTGTGTGCCTGTCTGTGTGTGTTTGTGTCTGTGTCTCTGTGTCTCAGAGTGCTTGTGTCTGCATGTGCATGGGCTGTGCCTGTGTGTGTGCATGTGTTGAGACAAGTCCCCATGCTTGCATATCAAGCCCTCTACCGATTGAACCACCTGCCTCTCCCCTGGGGAACAGACTGGAGTATGAGAAGAGATGGGCATTGCCCCAGAAATTCTTACAGGGCATCTTCCTTGAAGTTTATCTGTGGGAAAGAAGTGGCTGGCAGAGGGAACCAGAGAGGTGGACGCTCTCCATGAGGCTACTCCATGTCCCTCCCCCTGCATAGCTCTCCTCTGTGGTGAGTTGTGAGACCATTCAACACAGCCCAGGAAGGCACAGATGCCAAGATCCACACAGAAAAGAGATGAGGAGTGAGAGGTCCGGCCCTCACTCCTGAGTGCAGAACTATGTTGAGAAACATGGGAACGGGCAGGGGCCATCTCTCGAAAGACACGGGCCAGGGTCAGGCGGTGGGGGCACATGCCTTTAATCCTAGCACTCGGGAGGCAGAGGCAGGTGGATCTCTGAGTTCGAGACCAGCCTGGTCTACAAGAGCTCTAGTTCCAGGACAGGCTCCAAAGCTCCAGAGAAACCTTGTCTCGAAAAACCAAAAAGAAAAAAAAAAGAAAATAAGAAGGGAGGGAGGGAGGGAAGGAGGGAGGGAGGGAGGGAGGGAGGGAAGGGGAGGATGACTCTTCATGCAGTGTCTGGAGCAGATGGAACAGAGGTGTGGTACGTCAGAGCTGTGCCTCCCTTCCAGTCCACTGTTCCTCTCTGTGTTCCCAGATGCGACCCTTGGTCTCTCGCCACCGCTGGATGGTGGCAGCACTTCTGACTCTCAGAGGGTACGGCCCTGACTCTGAACTGGGTTGTAGGGAAGCTAGACCTCTGGAGCAGCAAACACAGATTCTGCTCTTCTGGACTGGGGTGTGAATGCTAAGTTTGGGGATAAGAGGGGTTGACATAATCCACTGACTTTAGGTAAACTGGGTCAGCATGAGATCATCCCATCTTCTGATTCACACACAGTGACACAGATAGGAGGGGTACCACAAAATGGGAGCCACATCCTATGGAGAAAGCTGTGAGCCTCCCTCGCCTCTAATTGTCTGGGGGACTCATTCATAGAAACAGAACTGCAGCCACAGCATGGAAACATAGAACTGAGCTCCAAAACACAGAGCCAGAGCTGCCTCTTCTCCCACTCCAAGAGCTATACAAACATGGTGGAGAGAATGAAATACGTTCCTGAACCCCAGCCCCCTCGGCATCTGGAATGGACTCGGTGGACCAGAGTGGCCAGGGCCCAGAGCTGGGTGACTCCATGTAAACACCAAGGCTCTTAGGCCCGTGTGACTAACACAAAACTTGGCTAAATACGGGATGAAAACTCAGAAGCCAGCCCTGAGTCCTGTAGTGAGGCAGAGCCAGGGACACACAAGGACACACATGTGCCTCCCTTTCTAAAACAGGCACTGGGGCTCCTGCTCCCGTGAGGGGAAGAAAAGGCTGTGTGCTTGACACCATTCCTCCCTGGCCTCTGGACATTCTTGGGCAGTGTCAATGGCACTGGGCGGCTCCCAGCTGGGTCTGGGCAGGACTGTGAGTGCAGAGGGGACAGTGCCACTTCTCACCAAGCCTGGTGCTGGCATCATTCTCGTGGCTGCTGGAATGAGGAAATGACCTCTGAACTCAGCCCCCCAGAACAGACTCAAACCGGACTGATTCTCACTGCACAAGGGCCCACTCCAAGCACAGGTGGAGGGAGGAGGGTTGTACCTAGGCCCTTGCAGGCCGTAGCACCATAAACCTGGCAGCAGCTGGCCAGGCCCCAAAGTCTCCTACCCGCATCTGTCCAGGCCAGAGTGGGCGGTGATGGAAGCCAGCTGCAGATGTAGAGAGAACGGGGGTCCTGGACAGAGAATCAGGCACCAGACTAGAGCCCTGGAGGGGGCGTGGGAGGAAGGGCAGGGCTGCGGGTCCTAGGCTGAGAAGAGGGAACACAGCATCCCTCACACAGCAGGAGCGACTGGGCCCCTGCCTGCCCACTCGTCCGGCGAGGTGCTCATTTCATCATCCGACAGTTACGCGCCGAGCAATTACTGTGTTCTTAGCACAGCTCTCAAGTAGTGGCTGGCCGAGATAAGCTTTACTGACATCCGGTGCCAGCATAAGAACGAAGGTCTGACATTCTGTTGTCAAGAGGAGCTCTGTGCAGAGCAGCACAGTGTCCAGGTTCTGGTTACACCGCAGAAAAGACACTCCAGGAATGAAGATGGTCCCAAACAAGTAAAGGAAATCTACACTAGATAAGAAGCAGACAATCACACTACATGCCAATGGGAGGGACTTGAGAGAGACAGAGACAGAGACAGAGAGGTCCAATGTTCTAAAAAATAAAATTAAACCAAATGAGTTCTAAGACCCGGTTGCAAAGTTTTTGCACCCCAGAGGGACCCGCACTAAACTGTCCAGTGACTAAAATAACCACAGAAGACACATGGCCTCAGTGAGACCTATGTCGTTTGCTATTCTGGGGTCACACAAGGTCACCTCAGATCTTTTGGGTTTGATGTTGAATATTAAAATGTAGCCAGACACGGAAACACAAGCCTGTTGTCCCAGGCCTTTAGGGACAGATTCAGAGGCAAGATGTTATAGTGGCAAAATGAGCCCCCAGTGTCTAGAGTAACTGTCTGGAAATCACAAGGGCTTGGCAGTAGAGCTTGGTGTTAGAACCATCCCTGGGTTCCACTCCAGTATCACAGATTAAATTAAATTGTTAGAGGTGGACTGAATTGCCGTAAGGTCTTAAAGGGCTTCTTTGAGGGCTGTGATTTTGAGAGAGGATTCACCAAATCTAGAACGGCAAAGCCTCAGACACAAATATTTATCTGGACAATGTGGAGTAAAATGAGTCCCTTAAGAGATTTCCAAGCTGCCCCTTTCTGTTTACCTTGTGGGACAGTCCTATTTACCTAAGCGCAAGAGTTGGCCTCTTAGGATGGCCCAAGGTTGTATTGTATTTCCGTTGAACAACTTTTAACAAACTGGCTCGTCAGGTTGTATATAGGATGGCGGTCTGAGCAAAGCTAAGGTGTTTTGTTTTGTTTGAGACACTATGTAGGTTTGGCTGTCCTGAAACGGGCTTTTTCTGTCTCTGCACAATTCATTCAAAAGATACAGGAAGGGAGCTCATTTATTCAGACAGAGAAGCAGGGGGTGTGTGTGGCCCAGCTCCATGAGAGGCAGGGTGGTCTCCCTGTGGGTCACAGGGCCGTTGGCGTGCTAGCAGTGGGCAGACCCTGTCTTCTGCATGGAACAGATATTCGGGAAGGCTGCTGATTTTTGTGCATGTTTCCCGGGTCACACTTTACAGTCTCCTTCTCTAGCCCATTCTATACTCCCCTACCTCAATACTCACCGAGAGGTGTGACCCCCAGAAATCTTCTTAGGGTGCTGGAGGGCAACGATCCTCCTTCTATAGCTTCTTTCTTGCTGCTGAGGGCATAGACTCTGCCTAGAAGGACCTATTCTCTCCGTGGGCTGGAGAAAGGCTCTGTTTCAAGTCCAGACATTTCAGGGTTCAGCACCTTTGTTCCCAGCAATCGTTGGGTTCTAGAAGAGACACAAGTTAGAATGCAAGGACCAGAAGCAGAAGCTGCCATCCAAAGTGGGAATATGGAAGCCAATGGGGTGTGATTCCCCACAGTCAACTCCTCATGGATCCAGAGAGAGAGCCTGGCCATGCCTCTTGATAGATACTGTAATTTAGGTTTAAAAAAATGATTTGTGTGTACTTTAATCATCCCTGCTAATTTTATAAAATTTTGTTCAAATTTTTATGAATTGCTGAACCCAAAGCAGCACATTTAATTAAGCCCTACAGACATGCCTGGGCAGCCAAGACATCCAAGTCCATGCAGTTCTGTAGGCCCATTTCTGTGAGAGTCCAGGCTTGTTGGTGGTGCGGAAGAGCAACCGCAGCGGGCTTCTGTAACTGTCATCTTGCCGAGGATAGGTTCTGCATCGACATTTCTAGTGCCGAGACTCCCACAGACGAGAACGGACCTCTCAGCGTATCCTCCCAAAGGCTGTTCATCTTTGCCCTGGGTTGTCAGTATTCAGGATGCTGAACTCAAGAGTGCTTGCTCACTCTGGGTCACACCTCTCTTGTGTCTACAAGGAGGGTGTGAAGAGGGAGAGCTTGGGGAAGACTCTAACCCAGAAGTTCAGAAATCCTTTGTGGGAAGACGTGCAACAGGCCCTAGACCCAGGCCCTCAACCCAGGCCCTCGACCCAGGCCCTTGACCCACCTAGTACAGCCGATGCCACGAGGAGAGAGCCTTCCAGGCCTTGCAGCCCAGCACACAGGCAGCAGCACACACCAGAATGGAAAGATGGACCTAGTCCAGAGCAAGTCCATATCTGCACTGACCTCGCCAGCTGAGGTGTGTCAGCACAGATTTTTGTGTTTAAAGCTCACCCTGAGAAAGGCTCGGGACTGAACTCAAGTCCCAGCACTCGGTGTTTATTAGCCAGGAGGATTTATTAATAAAGACTCTCTATTGGCTTGAACCCATATCTGAGTGGCCTGCTCTGGTGGATTCCTCACAACAGATGGGCACAAAAACACATCAACTTCCCATCTCTGGACAGGTCAGAAAATATCATTG